TCAAATAAGCAGAAAGTAGATTTTTTTATTTACAGCTCTTAATACATTTTTAGTATAATATATACTGAAAACAAAATAATTCCAGTAAAGTCTACCAAAAATATGTTTTATTGCCAGCTTGTACTGCACTGTAAAATATTTATTTATTGTGCCATTTTTTGCATTTGCTTAATAAAAGTTTGAATTAATTTTATTATGTAACAATTGTAGAACCAATCAAGGACATATTTGTCTGAAAATTCTAGAACTATTCCAGCAGGGATGAACCCTCTCAGCTCTTTTTGATTTGATTTGATTTAAGCTGAACCGAATCACAGGTGATGTCTCTATTTTTGACCTTAGACAATTTAGGATATTCTTGTTAATAGAAATTCTAGCATGATAAGGACTGCCAAGGTCAGGCCAGCTGCAACACTGCAATTTCACTGTACTCACTTTTTTATTAGGCAAAAATGAAAGAACTATAATTATTGAGACACAGCAAAACTGAGCAGTTGCACTGATGAACCATCTGCCAGCTCAGTCTGAATGTCAATGAAATAGAACAAGATAGAAAGACCCAGGTCATACAGAACTAAAAAAAAGTTTCCTGAAGGAAAAATGAGGGTGCTAACATTTTTCAACTCATTGCATGAAATCCTCTTGTCTCAGTTGCCCTTGAGTGTCTTCGCTCCCCTGAGGACAGAAGAGATGCACAAGAGATCACCGACTGCTGAATGTTTCAACAAGCTACTTTGTTCATTGCACATATATTTTTAGACTGCTCCTTGTGTGGTTTTACTTGGCTATTAGTGTAAGCTTGGTCTGACTAGCTTAATCATGGATCTTGTCAGGAATTAACTTTATTTCTTCCTAGCAGATGCTTTCTTAGTAAAGCATGCTCATTTAATTCCAGTTTAAAAGTAAAATAAAGTCGAAAGTGCTGACAGCAATACAGCACAATGTAAGAATGCAACTGTTGTATTGCATTAAATGATTACGACCAAATGTATTTCAGTAAAGTAGTTTTTAATGTCCTCGTCTGCTAAATAGAACAAGGAATTAAGGGGGATTGAAGAGGGATTAGAATTCAGAGAGTGAGTTTCTTGCACTGAGATGAATGTGTTGAAGTTGACATGATAGTTAGTAAGATGTCTTGTCTAGTCGATGGAGATTAAGGTGTGCTGCTATTAATGTCATTTATGGATTTCGTCGATATGCTGGGATGTACTTTAAGTGTCTTGTTATTTAAAATGCTCCTATGATGAGGAATCACATTTTGCTTGATCTTTTGAGATGAAAGGGCTCACTGTGAAAACATACTGTAACTTTCAGAACACAGAACTTCCTTGTCAGTGAAAAGGCATTTATTGAAAGCTGTGAAAATGGCTCTGTATTTTCACAACTTTTTGAAGTCAGAAGATAGATTTGAACACATGCAAATCCATTGGAACACATGGCCAGCCACATGCCAGTGCCAAATGTCTGTCCAGTCAGGAGGAAGTAAGATATATTCCAAACACCAGACAATCTGATAAGAGTTTAATGAGGGAAGTCTGTCAAACCTTGCGCTTTTGACTGTGGCACCTATCACTCTGCATATCCTTCTGAAGAATCCCGGTTTTAGAAAAGAGTGGTTGAAGTTTATTTTAACAATGTCCCTGATCATTTCAGACTGATATTAACAGTTTGAGCAACACTTTTTAAGGGAAACCATTTATTTTACACAAAATGGGTTTACATTATAGAGTTTATAAAATACTTTATAAAGAGTTTATAAAGACTTTTACTCAACAAAATAAACAAATAAATAAATAAATAAAAACCATCACCATTTATTCACCTTCATGTTGTTCCAAACCTGAAACAACTTCTTCTTCTTCTTCTTTTTTTAATCTGTTGTTTTGAAAAATGGACAAAGACCATTATTAAATTCTTCAAAATATCTCCTTTTGTGTTTCAGTCCCTCGGATTTGTAAAAACATGAAGAGGAATAAACAATAAAATAATTTCCATTTTTGGTTGAACTTTTCCTTAGTGTTGTTATTATTAACTAAAACTAAAAATGTTGTTTTCATTAACTGATGTAAAGCTTAAATAAAGTAATTTTTAAATACAAATAAAATAAATATAATATAGATATAATATATATATTAGAAGAGAAACAAACTTTATGAAATAAAAATAAGAATGTTGCCTTGGCAACTAATAAAAATAAGTTGAAGTTGAAGAACTAAAATTACTCAAATTAAAATTTAAATATAAAACTAAATATTTGAGAAAAGTAAAAAATAAAATAAAAAGACAAAAAAATAAATGAAAAAAATAATTGAAAACAAAAAAATATATAAACATAAAAGCTATTTGAAAATATTAATAAATACTATAATAGTATACTATACTAAAATTACACTAATCCCTTTTAAGACAACAATAATGTGGCCTGATTAATTGACTAAAAGGTCTGAGGGAGGTAGAAAAATGGTCATAAAAACTAAATTAAGACTCCAAAAAGACTTTACTAACATCATAAGTGGACCTTGGAGGGAAAACAAGTAGTGAAAAATGTATAATATCACAGCTTTAAATCCTAACTGTGTTAAAGTTTTTATGAGATTAATTTGGAAATGCACTGCTGCAGTAGCATTGGAGATAACTGTGCAGTGTAGATGCTTCAAAGGCACCTTTAATGTTCTGATCAAGGCACAATGTTCATATTCTCAACAGTTGCTGTGTGTGTTTCCAAGAACAGAGTCTTCAGGATCACAAACCACATGATTTGCTACAGAGATGATGACAGCAACAGGATGTGTAGCCAGCATGTCTGTGTATGTTTGTGTGCTTGGGTATAAACACAGTGTTGGTAAGTCATATGATAGACCACATGGCACTTTGAGGTTTGTGTCCATGTTGTTAATGATAGTGAAGAGTGAATGTTAGAAGGAATGTTAACACGTTAAAGGTTCAGTGACATTTAATGCCTCAGATGCTATAGTTTGTTTACACTGAGAGAAGTAAAGCAGGCTGATTTCCATACCGATACAACTTCAGTTTATTTGTATTGGAAATGATTAGTTTAGAAGATCTAATTCATGTATGCTCATGGCATTTCTTTCAAATATTCTCAATAAATTTTTAAGCGTGAAATATTACAGTATGAAAAATGTCTATGAGCCAGACAGTACAAATTCTAAATTCAAATCAGATTCTATCCCAAATTGGTATTCAAGAGCTTTTGTTTTGATGATCCATGACACACTCTGAATCAGATAAAGTTGAGACATGAGGATCAAAAGAAACAGAACCAATTAAAAGAGAAGCTTTATAAATAATAGTCCTGCATTGACAGCTCTCTGACCACGATAGCTGGTTGAGAGGAAGAGAAACGGAAAACACGTTAAAGATTTTGTCAACATCCATTACAGAAGAGTGAGCAGTGAGAGGATATAGTAAAGCTTTATCCACTGTGAATGAATTTGGATCTCTTTCTTTTCCAAAGGGCTCGCCACAGTTACTGGGCTTTTAGCAAACATCCAACTGCCAAAGGAAATTAAAGATAAATGTGTCTGTAAATATGCCAAACCAACCAAAAACCCACAGAGTCCATGAAAAGCATGACAAAGCAAAACACAGCGTTAATTTCACCATTTGCACTTAAACAGTTTAAACACGTTGCCATGCTGGGAATCATTAATGTTCATAGTACTACTCTTCTCCTGTTTTCCTGCTCATTTCTATACGCTTTCCCTGTTGTTATTTCTTACAGTCTATGTACTGCATGCTTTTTTCTTAAGAAAGTCAACAATGAAACACTAGTGGATTCTAGAGCTATAATTGAACGATTGCTTAGTTACTGTTTCATGTTATTTTTCCCTCTTGTGTTACAACAACATGTAAATGGAAAGAAAAAATCACATGGACTTTAGTGTCTGACCACTGCGAAACGCCCAGGTTTTATGGTCCATGGCTAAGCTCTGTTGGAAATCTCCCATCAAGGGAGAGCTGAGCTCTCTAAAAGTGCCCACTGAACCAAGTTGATCTCCTCTCTGCTTTAGTCCAGAGAACCTCCAGTGTGACCAAAACCACACTGTTGAATGTTTGCTCTTTAAAGTATGTTAAAGTATTTAAAGTATAAAGCCAATGAGGGTCAGAAACGAACCAGGGCACAGGTCAAAAATTGCCCAAATATTTCAAATGTGTATATAGTAGTCAAACATTTGAAGTGGATCAAAAAAAGTTCATCAAAGTTCATCAAAGACAAGAATGGGTATTGTTTTGGTTTTAGGACAACTTTGATGAAAGGTTTTGATCCACTTCAAATGCTGACTACTGTATATGTGTGTGTGCTGTGTGTACATGTATAGTTTTCACATAAATTATTTTTAACAATTCATAATATTGTATTCTAAGCCAGATCTGTAAAATGTTTTCTAGCAGAGCGTTTATTATGTTACGAGATTTTGTGAATTATTTATAATTATCTTTGTATGTGAAGTTGATCTGAATTTAATGACGAGTAACAGCCAGAAATTGTTCTATGCTGAGAATGTATTTAAATTAACTTATTTTAAATATCAGACACAATAGATTGTCAACACAGCTGTTTTGTGGTTAGGAAAAAAAAGGTAAAAAAATACCTGTAAAAATGAATGCCAGGGGGAAAATATTATCTCTTAGTAACATGTTATTTTGCTAAACGTTACAAATCCCCATTTTGGAACAAACGCCTTTATTTTATGAGGTCATTCTAAATGCAATTACCTCATACACTACTGGCTCTTTTCTGGCCAGCTGTTTTGGACATTTAATGGACTAGTCATGTAAAAGGATCTACAGTTCAAACAGTTCACGTTTTGGGCGGGGATTATGAGAAACTTTTAAAGAGAACATCCAAAACACTTCAGCGGATTCCGATTGGGCAAGCGACCTGTCACTCGAAAGCCAGGGGCGTGGTTTGGGAGCGATCGTTCACAATGTAATAGAGTTTTAGCGCAGGCTTGCTTTTTCATAGGCGTGTCAACTGTGTGTGCCAAAGGGTGCTCCGCTCTTACCAATGCGATTAATGAACACAACGAACCAATTGAGGGAACACTAAACAAACAACCTGCTTGTCCTTTTCGTCTGTGTTTTAATACGGACGAGCTTCGCGTCTGCAAGGAATCATCCCTCTGCACGAGCACAAAGGAAAATTAAAAAGGCAAGCAAAGGTAAATGAGCTGGTTTTCTCCTTTGTAAGAAGTTTTTTCTTCTTGTCGGTTTATATGATTTGAACTCTGGCCGTGACAGTCAGCGAAGTTTGGATAGGATGGAAACTGCGATTTTTTGGACAGTTTGGGGGGGGGGAAGCAGGTATCATATCAGGTCGGTAAATATTGCAGTCAGTGGCGACATGAACGCAGCCTTTATTGCTACAGACAATGCGGTTCTGATCTGATTTACTCGTCATATTCTTAGTTTTGCACGTTGTAGGTGTTCTTCAAACGTGTATAGGCTACGCAAGGCACTGGTCTTCTTGGCTCATGGAAATCAAAACCACTGGGTTGTCCTGATGCTGTGACATAGGCTAGTTGTTGACAACATAGAGAACACACGTTGGTCATGTTGATGAGCAACACATGATGACACGTGAAGTATTTCCGTTTTCCAGTTTAACCTGTACTGGTTAGACTAGTGTTTGCACGTGAAACACTTATCGTGTCTGCGGTTACAATCTCTGCACGAAAGCGTTCAGTTGTTCAGATAACAAGCGCGCGGCACTAGTAAGCTGGACAGTAGAATATAAAGAGGAAGCCGTATATCCTAGTCCAGAAAGACGGGCATGCTGGTTTTGGACTGCTGATCTGTGGTTTTGGAGGAGTTTGGCCTTGGGCACAGAGCTGAGAGTGCAGTATTCATTCAGCGTGTTGCGCACCTTTACCAGCTGTGTGGCGACGAATTAATTACGCTTACAGATATTTACCGTGGTGATAGTGCAGAAATCAAAAACAAAAAAAAAAGATTGTTTCCACTAAACAATTATGATAAAAAATAAATATGGGATATTCAAGCATATTTATGTCGTTTTTTTGACGACAGCTGTGGATAATCCGAAACATCACAGTTTTACAACTGTTATTGTCACGATACAAGATTTCATTAGTCGTTGGCATTAGTTACATTTCACTCTTCTCGATATTACAGCAAAGCTGCGTTGCTATTCAGCACACTCCTAACTATTAGACTGATTAATTTAAAAGTGCAAATCAATACTTAATATAGTGGCATATAAGCTTCGACTATTTTTCAGTTAAATACACATCGCTTAGGTAAGAAAAGTAAACGTAATAAAACGAAGAGAACAAAGAAACGCATTAGGAACAAAGAGTGCTTGACGTTTTCCAGTATCTAACCCTAGAGGGCTTATTAAAGCTAAAGCTTAAAGTTATCCAGATGAGAGCAGTGAGGGAGTGATTTTCTTTTTTCCCTGCCGATATTGTTTGAGTATTATTAATGACATAATGGACTGCGGGAGGTTTAGGCTGCATTTACAGTGCAGCACCTAATGCACAGCTCTGTTCTGACATATTAGATTTTTTTTCATCCTGTCTGTGTACGTAAACTTAAGACAAAGCTGACCGTGTCTAATATCTTGGCAAGATCTGCATTTTAACGGAGAAGTGCATTTGACCGCGCAGTCGACTGCACGAGCAAGCTCTCTTCAGAGGGCACGCGTGAGCGTTTCAAAAGCAGACGTTTCAGTGATCCTTTTTGAAATTGTTAATAGTTATGTTTTTGACCTAGCAGTAATTAGTACTGTAAGTTTACATGTTGGCTTTGGTAAAATAACAAGAAAACCTCACAATAAATACCCAGATAGAACAGTTATGCTTTTCGTAGCACTGTGAGATTTTTTTTTTAAAGGACAATATTGACCACTGGAATTGATTTCCAGGCTTATTTCCCTCTATTATGAGGGTGTATTGTTTTGTAACTCTATAAAACGGACTATTTGTCATCCATTTATGTCCATTAAATGGATCAATCAATAGAAATAAATTCTCATTCTGAACAATTATGGCTGTCACCTATCAGATTAGTATCAAATGCAAAAGCTTCTGTAATATCTGTACATATCATAACACAAATGCTTTGCTTGAGAACATTACTGGTTCCTTTGTTATAGATCAGTCATTTTTGCCCCAATGTTTTGTTTTTTGTCACTTTCGATGATGTTTTTGCTCCAAGTGCTGGTTACTGTTTGACCCTGCTTTAGATTTCTTAAAGCGCTTTTGTTCCTGATAAAATTCAACCGTGAGCAAGACTAAGAGTAGCTTGAAGGGTTCATCCCTCCGGGTGCAGGAGGTATATTTCTGGCATCTACCCCGAGGTTGCCTTGAATCATCTAAGTGTTATTGAATAATGAATAGCTCACTGAGCTATCATTAGACATTTTCCTGTGGTATTTCTTTCTCTTTTTTAAACGTTTGATAACTGTTATTTAATAAGTAGGTTTGGTCCATACTCCATAATTGCAATATAAGTGCACTTAAAATATTCAACCAGTAATTCTGAAGTGACCCAAGTAGAATTTTAATGGGTTCCAGTATTATGAATACAGTCAGAGAGTGTGATGTTTTCCACTTAAATAGCTTTTCTCTCTGTTTTACTTCGCTGATTTTAAGACTATTAGATATTGTTTATGTGTTACAATTACCCTTGAATATACTGTGCTGGCTTTTGAATTGCTGGAGGTCAACGCTCACTTGTTGTTCTGTGGAAAATGTGTCTATGTTCTTCTTCCTTTAAAAGGCTAGTTTAAAAAAATGAACATTCTGTCATCATTTACTCACCCTTATTTCATTCCAAGCCTGCATGATATTTTTCTTCTGCTGAACGTGCAAGAACGTTGGAGTTCAAACAACATTTGACCCCAATTGACTTTCATCGTATGTACAAAAGAAGAGACATTATTTTCTTTTGTGTTCTACAAAAGACAGAAATTTAATGATGGAATTTTCATTTTTGGATGAACTGTACCTTTAAGTCACATCTGTTCAAGCTGTATACAAAAAAAACTCTACAATTTTTGAACATGTTGTGACCAAGGAAAGAGTACATGAAATGTGAAATTGCCGGAAGCTGCATTTTGCTCGCAGATTGCTTTGGCTATTTTACCGAGAATAGTTCTCAATAATTTAACTGTCATTTTGGAGCAAAACAATTTGGCAGCCAGATCCATTTGGAATGAGCACAGGTACAGACATCTCTAGTCTTTGTTTTGGTTAAAAGCCTGGTTTAAACCCTAATGATCCTCTATAATTATTAACCTGCTCGTCTAGAAGGAGATCTTTGATAGTCAGACATGTACAGGACACAGGAGGCATTTTTCCTTTAAATTAACCTCTAGTTTTGTCTTAGCCCATCGTGACTGCCTCTAGGTAGGGTAATGATGCATATAGCCTGGGTGTAATTTTATTTCCAATTTCCACTGCTGTAGTTTTGCCCCAAATGATGTTACGCTAGCCGTGTGGAGTGGATGGCTGTGCGCTCCTAATGGATCTTAGGGTAATGAGAGCTAAAATAGCTTTGGTGCTACACATTTCATCAGACGAGGACAATTTACTTTGGAGACTTGTTACCCTGCTTTAGTTATTCATAGCCATTTTTATGATGGATTGAAACTCTAGAATGGAACAAATGCAAGTCAATTCATTCTCTACATTTGAATGCGGACTAAACAACCACCGTGTACCTGTTCTGGACCGGCTGTGAGACACAATGGATCACTTTCAATTAGTTACTCTGGGGAGTTCACTCTGCACTATAATGGCCCCTCATATTTCATGTTGATTGTTGTAACCCGTAGCAACAGGGTAGCCAATAGCTGGAAGATGCACCTGGAGAGGAGGGTTACGAGGCTGTTGGGGTGCAGTGGAATGAGAGCTGTTGTTCCTGCCTGGCTGCCTTAGTCCAGTGAGGGGTCTCGTACCCCTGGGGAGTGAATTATTACCTGTCAGACCTAGGGCCTCGGCATCATCCATTACGCAGCCCTCTTGCGGGGGCAGCCAGCCCCAGCATGGCAGCGCGATCAGTGGGCCTTGGCTTTCAAACCTGGCCTCCTCTCTCTGGGTGGGTACAACTTGTGGCGTTCCAGCTATTATGAGCATCTCCAGAAGTTGCGAGTCCCGGCGTTATATACAAATGCACAAATGCTAAATAGCCCTACAGGTTTAGGATTCCAGCTGAGAGGTTGTGGCATCTCTGCCAGGCCTCTGTAATCTGCTGTAATGAATGGCATCATTGTGCTAAACTCTGTTATCAAGTTGTTGGTGGTCGATGATTCTAATTTGTCACACATTCACACTTAAGGTAATTCTGTTAAAATCTTCAGCAGAGTCCAAGTACCAGTTCTATTCTTACTCTAGTGTAAGGCAAGCTGTGATGCCTCCAGGATATTTTTAATGGGGTGGCCAGATTGGGACAGTAAAAATCATGGCACAAAAAAGGCTGTAGCATGGCTGAATTTTGGGATAAGCAGGGAGTGTCTGTCTGTCAATTATTCATTGCCCATGTAGTGTTTGGTAAAATTATTATTGCATGCATTTTGTAAAAACTGACTTTAGATTTAGGGGTCCAGTTCTCCAGCAAATGTCTATACAAACATAAAATACCCTGTTTAAGAAGTTAATAACTTGTATTGATATGAAATTAAATGGGCAATGTTAATTTCTGCAGAATTCATTTTAAATGTTCAAATTGGGAGACATAATACCTTTGTATAGGAAACAAATAAATCCTAAAAACCAGGGGTATGGTGTATGAATGTTGCGTATACACAAAATAGACATTGAAATGTGTATGCAATTTTCAACGCAAATATCAGAATTTATACAAATAAACTTGCCATAATTATGTGCAATATGGGCACAGCATTTATCATCTTTGTTTTTTACCGTTAAACACTAGCATTACAGTTGGTTGGGAATTTGCATATAGAAGTTATATGCAGATGAGGTTATGCATAGTAAAACTAGGTGTTGTAAGCTCCATATTGTATATGGTTGCTTTGGGCAAAAGTCAGGGTAGGGATGTAGCTATGTATGCAAAATCTTGCTGACTAGGATTTGGAAATTTTGTGCAGGCTCTGGTGTACAGTTATACAAATCTGAAGCTTTTTGTGTGTACAAACACTTTTTACGCAAAGCTTTATAGTACATAAGGACCCTGT